TCTTTCAAAGCTCGCTAACATGCCATTTTTTACACGCATAAAAATGTAATATAAAAGTGATTTTTCCTTGCCTATACATTCAGTAGTCATTTCAATATAAAGTACTTTCAGTATTACAAATAGAGAAAATCTAGGTCCACAAAAGTTTCAGGCATGATCACAAATTATTAACACTAAATCTGTGAAATCTGCAGATGTCTTGCTAGCTGTCAGCATGTGGAAAGCAATGAGCTGCAAAGAGCGGAATATGCTGCGCACAAATCAACACACATTTCTAAAAACACAATCTCTTCCGTTACCTCCACACCTCTACTTACATGTGCTACCAAGACCTAACTTTAAGATTAACACATACCAAGGAAAGTACAATATGAATATAAGGTTCATGGAATAATTAGAATGGTCCACCCACAACAGTTAGTGTTTTGAAATAGCTACCACAGAAGTAGGCCGTTCTGAATCTTTAATAAATGATGCCAAATGCAGTGAAGCCCGGGAACTACAGAGCGTAGCTTGCAAGATGTCTGGTGACTACTGACAAAATACTTTACTCGCATGATTGGTAGGTTAATCCACGTCAACGTACTAGCCCTGTCTTTGCAGGAAACGTCTCTGAAACCAGCAACAGCTGCTCCAATGCATAACATTCTACCATTTTCATACCATCAAACTGTTTGCCTTTCAAGGCATTTTAAATTCAGAGAACAAAACAATTTCATGTGTAGCCAATCTGTTAAGCAGGTAGACTATCTCGCTTGTGGAATAGTAGTATATGTGCAGTTAAAAATTGCCAGACGAACTCATGAGTAGGCAGGTGCAATATTATGGTGGCAGAATGAAATAATAATAATAATCTGTAAAAACTGGGACAGGTTTCTCCGAGTTCTTAAGTTTTCTCCTGTCAATATAATTTCACTGCTGCTCCATATTCATGCATTTGGGGGATGGACAATGAACTTGTTAGTGGCCACACTTCCACTGGTTCATTGTCTCATACCACCGATAACAAAAACAAAACCAGTAGTCTTGAAACAAAGTTCACTTAAACATACTTCAGATAAGAATCTTGAGTTAAAATTGCCATAAGAAATTCCCACTTTGGTAGCCATTTCACAAGTAGTCAGTATTCTACAGCGTGTTTCAAAAGTAGCTTAACAACTTGAGGGTGAGATATTGGTGAAATGATAGGAGAAACATATAATTTCAGAACATAGAAATGTAGTCAAACACTTCAAGTCTTATGTCCATCAGAATTTTATGGTTCAATGTGACTTCCATTTGTTATGCGGCAGACGTCTCATCTGTAGTCAATATCTTGCCACACGCGGTGTAGCATTTCTGGTGTCACTTCAGCAACTGCAGTGGTAATTCGAATTCGGAGTTCGGCCACATTTGCAGGTAAGGGTGGCACATACACCCGATCTTTAACAAATCCCCACAAGAAAAAATCTAAAGGCGTCAGATCCGGGCTGTTGGAGCATGTCCAGATACACAATGCCGGTAATGGTCTTCTCCATGAAAAAGAAGGGGCCGTACGCTTTATCTTTGCTGAGGGCGCAAAACACATTAACTTTTGGACTGTCACGAACATGTTCCAGGAAGGCACGTGGATTTTCACTAGCCCAAATCCTGCAGTTGTGGGTGTTGACCTTACCAGTCACTGAAAATTACTGAGTCCATAAATCCTTCGTCTTCAACCTGCCGCAACATTTACGTACAAAATTCCTTACGAGCCAGTTTATCACCATCTGAAATGGCTTGCACCATGGATAATCTGTACGCTTTTAAGTGTAAACGTCTTCGTAACTCTCGCCACACAGTCACATGTGGAATCCCACTTTCCCGAGATGCACGTCTCATTGACTTGCGTGGACTCGGAGCGAAGCTCTCTCTAATCTGTTCTACAGCGTCTACAGAAACACGGTTTTTGGTACTACAGTTTATGTGTATGAAACTTGATGTGTTTGGCTAAATTTGTGCATTTAAAATATTGCGCAAGTCCTTTAAATACATTTATATTCTCCTGCAAAGTTGTAAAGCTACTTTTGAAACACAGTGTATTACTTCACATTAAGTCAGGCACCTGAGCTACCAATTCATCATTCCTACTGGTTGAAGAGTGTCCCAGACACTCATCAGTTTCAAAAGTCATCCACCTTAGAAACAACAGAAACATTCAAAAACTTGTACTTGGCTCACTGTTGCAACCACAAATTCTACTTGTATCATTTTCAGTTACCGTCTTTCAAGACACCTCATAAGATATAATGCACACAAGCACCACTAAATTGACACATGCCAGAAACTCTCAGACCTTAAATGCCAACCAAAAAGCAATGGAATTAAAGATAAACCTGCCCAAACATGCAGTAACAAGTCAGTACTTGTTCACTGCAACTGCACCATTGTGCACTTCTGAATTGCACGAGATACAAATTCAGTCTGGTTACGTTTTGATCGGACCTCTTACGTAGTGGTACACTCTCAATGGGCAGGGAAACCTGCAACTTTCAACAACTCTACACACTAAAATTTAATCAAAATTCAAATGAAAGTTACTATAAGAACATACAGTGTGTCCACAAAGTCCCTTTGGGGTTTTGAAAAATTGTGGCGCGCAAACAAATTGAGCTAGCCACATGCGGTTTGCGGCAGATTACAATGAAGCTCCGGAAGTTTTTTACTGACCTCAGTAGACCTCGATGTGGGCTCACTTGGTAGCACGGAGAATGTCCAGACGATATTCGAGCTCTTGCCATGTTCTTTGGAGCATATCCGCTGGAATAGCCGAGATCACATTCCTCATACGGGTCTTCAGGTCATCAAGTCCATTAACTGGTGTTCGGAACGCATTGCTCTTGACATAACCCCACAGGAAGAAATCCAGTGGTGTTATGTCTGGTGAACATGGAGGCCAAGGTATTGGACCGTCTCTGCCGATCCATCTTCCTGAAAATGTCCTGTCTAGGTATGCGCGTACCTGCAGACCCCAATGAGGTGGAGCACCATCTTGCTGCAGAATGATGTGCGGCTGTAAGTGCTCAATTTGTGATACTGCGTACAGTTCCAGCGTGTCCAGGTAGGTGTTCATGTTGATCATCTACTCTTGAAAAAGAAGGGTCCAATAACCTGGTCATACACCACACCACACCACACGTTCACTTTCGAACTATAGCGTATGTGCTCCCTAACAACATGTGGGTTTTCAGGCCCCATATGTGCACTTAAAGCTGTGAACATGATTTTTTCAAGAAGTCCACATCAAGGTCAATGCGGTCAAGCATTTCTTCTGCGAAATGTTGATGTGCTATGCCATCACCAGGTTTCAACTGTTGCACCAACTGAACCTTTTATGCACATAACCTCAACCTCTTATGTAGCACTTTGTGTACCGTTGAACGTGGGAGTAACAATTCACACAAAGCTCGCTGTGTGGATTTTGTAGGGCATCGTACAAACGATTCACGGATTCTTTCCACACATTCATCGCTTCTGCCACTTCTCTTGCGATCATGGATGCTACCAGTTTCTAGGAAGCGTCGTTTCCAGTCTCTTATTGCATTGTCACTCAGAGGTTGCTTATTGAACTGTGCGCGGTACTTTCGTTGAGTCTGGGTGACTGACTGTGTCTCAAAAAGCCATCCCACACAACGTGCGCGTTCCTGCACAGTCGCCATTTCAAAAAGAACCGAGTGAGAAACGTAAAGATGGCCGCTTATGCTATCTGTTGGCGGTAAAAACAACTACCAGAGTTTCACTGTAATCTGCAGCAAACTGCATGTACCTAGCTCAATTTGTTTGCGTGCCACAATTTTTCGAAGCCCCAAAGGGACTCTGTGGAAACACTGTATAATTCTAAAATCACATATCATTAGATCAGCAAGTACTACCTAATTCTCTTGGTACAAACCTGAAGGCCTGTCACTGACGCCTCTCTAACCCAGGCCCCAATATCACCACGACTGTCCATTGTATACTCAGTTAGACCGTCCAAGAAACAGTCATATAAATGATCCAAATGTGATGTCAACACTGTAAAAAAAAAAATTATATATTTCTAATTTCAACCATAAAATTACAACTTCCAGCTACGGCATTCGGAATATCACACTGTGGTTATTCTCACATTATTTTCAGAGTGTAACTTGCCACATTCATTCCTATACACGACTTTGGTTATGTACTGGTGCTCTGTCCAGGTAACCTCATCTTAGCTCAATAACATACCATAAAATAACACAGAATCTCTCTTTCAGAACACACTTTGAGCACAAAATTTCATATTTTGTTATTATGTAGTGCAAGCACTTCTTTTTGTGATTGCTTGAACATATGTAGATTACTGCCATTCATTTCTTTACCATGTAACATTGCAAAATGTTGGTATATTTCTAAAAATGGCAAGGCTGAGTGGTAAGCAAGCAGAAGAGTACTTCGGAGTGAATGTCCTCAAGCATGAATACACACACACACACAAAAACAGACAGACAGACAAACAAACAAACCCTGCAAGAATTAAAAATTAAGACTGCTGTCTTCTGGATTGTTGCGCCATGTAGCCCGGAAGAAGTTTACCAACATTTTAGAGGTAGTTATTGCCTCCGTCATCAGGGCAATGAGTGAGGCAGCAAGGACCTCTGAAACGTCAGCAAACTTCTACCAGACTACGCAGCGCAACAACCCAGAAGACAGCCATCTTCAGACTCACTGCCATGAAAATCTCAAATCATAAAATCAAAATTACCTGGCTCCAAATCCTCGGAACTAGACACAGTAAGGCAAATTGAAGTGACAGCCTTCAGAGCATCTCTGCGGCTTTCTGCCCACTTGCCAGTTGTCTCGGTGATCTTTGAGCATTGTATTAAGGCAACAATTACTATGTCAAGCTGTTCATCAAACATAAACTTAGGAAATGAACCTGTTAAGTAACAATAAAATTAATTAGCTATTTCAACAAGAATTCAACCAGGGTAACAGATTCCTTAATTTCTATTACATACCTGACAATAAAATAATGTATTAAATTTGGAACACAATTAAGACCTAAGCTAAAAATACATTTGTCAGCTGGTCTTCAATAATTCTTTTGTCGCAAATGGGCAAATATTTCTACAGCCATAAATTCAACAACCACAGTATCCACTTATGACATGGAGGACACTCCTCCTTCAGAACCAGGCAGTACACTCAGCTAGTCAAGAAATGTGTCACATTTTATGAAACCCTTGAAGGTTCATTGTCATTTTCATAACAATCCACCACCAGTTACTGCCATAAGTCAGATGACTACATTCCACACCTTCTAATGCCAAGATTCATTTTAATATTGTCCTCCAATCTACACCTAGGTCTTATGAGTGGTCTCCTGTTTTCAGGCTTAAAAATCAAAATTTTATGCGCCTTTCTGATTTCCCCCATGCAGGATTTATGCACTGCCCATTTTGACCTCCTTAATTTGATCATCCTAACAGTATCAGGAGCGTCTCATTATGAAATTTTCTCCATTGTCCTTTTACTTCATTCCCCTTAGGTCCAAATATTCTCCTCAGCGTCCTGTTCTGCCCTGAAGTTGGTATTCTCTTCCTTACCCCAATTTCGAACCAACAGTAAAATTACATTAGATTCTGTGTTCATCCAGAACAATCCATAAAATTTAGTCAGATATTGTGCTACATAGTGCAAACAACTAAATAGTCCAATCTGTAGTCTCTCTGTGTTGAAAGGGTGCAACCATAACGTCAACTTCTGCTGATATCTTCTTGACGGAACTACACACCACTGGTAACACTACAGCTTTCTTACATGAAACTGCCATTCTAGAAACATTAAATGGTCCACTACCAGTTGCTCCAACATGTCACCCAAACTTATAACCACCTTCACCTATCTCCTATAATCACTTGCAAATGTTGATACTAAATAACAAATGAAGTTGATGCAGTGTCATTAAGCAACCAAAGACTTATAACATGCTTCTATAAAATATAAGAGCATTTGACCCTTTGAAGCTGAAGCTCATCAAAATAATGTTTAAAAATTGAGTTCTTACATAAAAGAAAACACAACACTTCTTTAGTGCAAATATAAATTAATTAATCACTGTTTATTCTGAGAATCACATTTAACCCACAAATAAACTGTGGGCAAAATGCAGAGTTGCCAATTTAAATAATTTGGCACACACAGTTACCAATGAGCTTTAAACAATTAACTAATTCTAATTTCCTCCCAATTAAGAGTCGCAGAAAACTATTTTTTGCACAAGCACTGTCTAAGATTTGAATTTGTTTCTCATGAGGTACATTATAAGGCAAGTACAATAAACCATCTTAGCAGGCAATGATCGCCTTTGAGGTAATGTTTTAAGTCTCTCAGAGGTAAATGTACACTTACCAATAGCTAACGAGTAGCCCATTCGAGTAATTTGATTATTCGCTGCCAACTGTCTTGTATATGTGGCAATCACTTTGTTACACTTTGCTCTCTGATAATGTTCCCCAGGCTCTGATCGCAGCTGATAGTACTCGGTGAACAGAGCAGACAACGCTAATGCAGCTTGAGAACGAATGTTGCCAACCTCATGAGACAAACACTCATCCAGTAATGTCTGCCAATCTTCTGTTTCAAACATTACATGTCACTGTCATATCAGGAATAACACAATTTGATGGAACAAAGTTAAACATTTTTCTTTATATGACCCGTTCTTCAGTGCCTGAGCATCTGCAAGTCCCAAATTTTCATTGGCTTTGATCTATACAGTTGGTAGGACTCCTTGGACGAGTGATCGGCCAGTCGCAAGGCCTCTACCTGCACACAGGATAGCACAATACAGAAAGACACGGAGAAACATCCGTGCCTTGAGTGGGATTCAAACCCACGGTCCCAGTGACCAAGTGGCACAAGGACCACGTCTCAGACCACGTGGCCACTGTGACGGCAGGTTATACATAAATTAGGCAATATCAATTTGGTCTTCTGGACTGTAATGCCATGTGAACTTGCAGGCAGACAAAATGTTTCTTTAGAATCCACCTACAAGTCCACAACCTAGAAGACCAACAGTAACATCTTCAACGATGTGAGAGCCTCAAACCTCATATGAATTAGGCGAATATGAAAATGTTCGATTTTCTAGAAGAGGCACTGACTAAAATATTCCTGAAAATAAAACAAATTTATACGTTTCAGCTAAGGAAAACTTTTGTTACACAATATTTAAAAACAATTACTTAAATAAATTGTATTTCTTTTTTATTAGCAGTAGACTGTGAAAATTAAATCCGTGGCGTAACAGCTCCAGAGAGCCAAAGCCGACTAACTGGCTGCTGGCCTCATGTTCACATGCCTAAGCAGAGGTGAACGATCATCCAACCAGATATAGGGTGACGTGTGGTCAGCACGACAAACCTGCAGCCATTGCTAGCTTTCCTGACCGGATTACGCTACTCATTGTAGCTCCTCAATTTCCTCATGATGCTAGTTTGGCACCGGTCCCATACACTGGTTGAAAGCTCATGAGAAAATTTCTTCTCCCGAGACTCGAACCAGCGCGCATTCCGTATCGCCAGTCTGAAGCATGATGCCTCAGTTGGCGCGGCTACTGCACGGGACTAGCAGTAGACTGTGCTGACACAAATTCTTCCACTCGTTAAGACACGCTGATATGTTTTAATACAAAGCAAACATCATCATCATAATAAAAAACTGAAATTCAACCATAACTTACCAATAACTTGATGGTTATGGAAAGGCATAACTGCCATAGAACATTTTTCAATGAGAAATGAGCAAGCCTGTTTCATAAGTTCACCTCCCAGACCGCGAAACTGTTGACGTTGTCCAAATGTAGGGACCAGATTCCTAACCTCATCTACAATTCTTGGTCCTACAAAGAAATACATCACACAAGTTCCATGAACTGCATAACAATGTAATATTCAAACATAAGAAATATATATGACTATTAAACCTTAGTTATGACAAGAACTTGTAATATAAGCTGTAAATCTGACAAATCAACGTAGTCACAAATCTTCCGAAAACTGTAAGCAAAGAAAATCCTGGTTCATGCAAGATACAATATACAGGTAACCCTCAATTTGCGCCGATTCAGAATAACGCCAAATTTGAAACCAGCAAGTCAAAAAGTGAAAAAAATATATTTTACCATTGTTTATAACATTTTACAATGTTTCTCGTACTGATTCTTATAATAAATCATAATTCTTACATCGCTGATTTTAAATAAAAATTATAAATACAGTCACCTCTGCAATTACGTATGTTTCGTTAACGCGAATTTGCTCCAATGAGATCGATGAATCGGTAAAAGCTGTTTGTGAAATGCAAAGTTTCACATATGGGAGTTTGCTCTTATGCAGTTTTATTCCTGGCGCTTTAAACTTTCGAAAAATTTAATCTCTGCGGAGGTACCGGGGTTATTTTTACTACGCGATATTCTATAGGTCTGCGTCTTACAAGAATGCAACTATCGCATAACAGCAGAGATGACTGTACACATCAATGACATGAAAGAACTGCAGTCAATTGCGGGGACCAACGAATTGCTGATTATAAGTGTACAAAATATATTTTTTAAATACCCTTTATTTTATTTACATTATTTCAGAACTTTAAATGTAACGTCATTATATTACTCGTCAAAGTTTGGGTGCTCGGAACGCATGTCATTGACTTCCCATTGATTAACATTATAAAAGAGTTTCTATTTACGCCGACTCCATTTACGCCAGTTCATCCACGAACGCATCCCCGGCATAAATCAAGGGTTACCTGTATGTCATTCACCAAAGATTAAGATCATGCAGTAATGATTTTCAACGGACAGAAAACATAACACTGATTTTTTTCACCATAAGTTCACTAAATGAACGAAAAAATTCTAGAAGGTAAAATATTTCTTATGCTACATGCAGGTTATTTAGTAAATCAATATTCATAAAAAATGGAAAAAGAATAATGTTGTTTAAATCAGTCTTTCGGTATGACAAAAAAAAAACAACTAACTACAGGATTTGTACAGTTGGGATTTCACTGTACATGATACAAAGATTTCTAAAAGTCCAGGAACAGAAACCACAATGTGGTCATAAACCACTGTTAAATGTGCCTAAAAGTAACAACTTACCAACTACGTCCTGTATAGTTCGATCAGACTGTTTAGCCATAACAGCCAGTGCATGAAGAATTTCAGCAATGCCCAACACGGCACCATGACGAGCATTGAGATCAATGGAAGATGTCTTATCTAACAAGGCACGGAGAACAGTTTCAGTTGTGAATGTCGGAGCTTTTGGTGTCAGATTGTGAAGTGCCTGTCCAACAAACATTTGTAAAAGATACTTCAATTCACAGAAAATGTTGAAAATGCAAGTTTCTAGTTCTTGTGTCATATAAAAATGCCCACACATACGTAAACCGAG